TATAATTAAAAGGTGGGTACTTTGGAGTTTGATTGTCAAAATATCATTAATTTTTTATTATTTTTGAAATTTTATTTTATTTTATTAAATTAAAATTTGAAAAGACATAAAAATCAAACATAATTTCTGATAGTTGAAAAGTATCTTTATGAAATGATATCTTTCTGAAGGGATACATCTCTATAAATAATAACTTTTCAAACAATATAAATTTTTATGAGAAGTCAACATTTTATATCTAATTTTTTTAAAAAAATTTAAATTCTGTTATATTTTAAAAACTTTTAAATATTTAAAAAAAGTGAGACCACACCTTAAACCATTCCTTTTATTCTTCTTCTATTTCTTATTTTCTAACACATATAATTGGGGGTTAGTCCTTTATTTATCTGTCATTTCTAATGTTCCCACTATAGACCATTCTAATGAACCACCAGGTCTAAAACATCGCGTATAATTGGAGGAGTGGAATGAATTGAGTCAAATCTGCACATTGAATTGGAAATTAGCTCTTTATTTATCTGTCATTTCTAATGTTCCCACCGTGGACCATTCTTACAGGCCACCAGGTCTAAGGAATCACTTTCAGAAAAAAATCTCTTCTTCAATGCAAGATCATGAATCGATTTCGCTGTGTTCTACCATGTGATTGTGAACAAACAACTCCAAAACAGTGGGACCTCTGGATGGATCATTTGGTTGATCACGGTGATTATTTTTCTTTTCCTCTTTGCTTCCTATCAACTGTGCTTACATTTTGAAATATGTTTAATTATATTTTATTTTGTGTCTAAAATTATAATATTTAATGTTATATAAATTTATCTGTAAACATATTGTATCCAACAAATTGAGAAATTAATATTAATTTTTAATATTTGAGTAGAGATTGAGTGTATATTAAAATCTTACATCTATCACTTCCATAAGAAAAAAAAAACTTTATATCTATTACTATTTAAGTGAAATATAAATAAATACTTAACCCATACATGTACCGTTCACCCTAATATACCCTTAATTTTCATGATTAAAAGCCACTAACCCGTGACAATGTATCATGTTTAGGTAAAAACCAACATTTAGTCCCTCACCTTACAAAATCGGTACGTTTTAACCTCTTACCTTATAACATAAAAATTTTGACCCTTTATCTTATAAAATTAGTAAGTTTTAACCCCTCACCTTACAAAGTTGATAAGTTTTACCTTTTATCTTATATTATGATATTTTTAACCCCTCATCGATACAAATTAAAGAAAATAGCCCTCATCTAACATCAGGTTATAATGTTCTTTTAGTTTTATTAGTTGACTATTAACATCTATTAGCATTTTGTTATAAAAAATATAAAATTTAAATTTAATTTTATTTGTTAATTTCATTAACGGGATGCTAATAGATGTTAACAATCAATTAACAGAATTAACAGTTAATTAACAAAACTGACAGTCAATTAACAGAACTAATAGAATATTATAACATAATATTAAATAAAGGTTCTTTTCTTCAATTCGTATAAATAAAAGATTAAAAATATCATAATATAAGGTGAAAGATTGAAACCTATTAATTTTGTAAGTAAAGGATTAAAACTTTTAAATTTTATAAAATAAAAAATAAAAAATATTATATTATAAGATTATAAATTAAAATTTACCACTATTGTAAGGTGGGAGACTCTTGAGTTGTTTGAGCCATCATGTTTAAAAGTGGCGCGAAATACTGAAAGAGGAATGCTAAATGCAGTCGCTTTTTTCTGCACTCTCTTAACACTCTCTTATGTAAAATAGCCACGTGAACTTTTTGACTGAAAACTTTAAATTGCGAGCCAAAGATGACTACGTGACCATTTTATATGAGAGAGTGTTGGAGAGTGCAAGAGAAGGGCGACTGCACGTAGTAGTCCTCGTACCGAAATTGGGAAATAAAAACAGGAAGAGAGCGTGTAGGGTTCGCATTGAAGAAAACTAGAAAGGACCCCTACCCAGCCGTACCTTTTTGACATTGCATTAGGTCAAGCATTCCATAACATTTCCCTAATTCAAAAAATAAATGGGTTTTAATTATTATACTTTTTAATTATTAAACTCGATTTCAATTCGCCCTTCTTGGGTTGCCTGTATTTTTTCTTTTTAAGTTTTTATTAATCATAAATT